TCAGGTGATGAGCCCTCCTCTGCTACATCAAGGTTCAGCTCACAGAACTATCAGATCATCTAAGGTTATGCAGAGACTAAGCACTTTAGAGCTAGTTTCAGATGTAATCAATACCTTATACTTTGTCTCAAAAATAAGGAACCATTGCATACATTGAAACTCAGTATAATATAAACATACTTTGAATTATGTCAAAGACAATAATTAACTCGTAGACAATAAGAAACTGGCACATATGTTAAACACAAGTATAATGTACTCATGATTATTCCATCAGTGCTTGCACACATATTCATGCACACACACACTCTAACTACAAATAAACCCTACACTCATTTATACCACTGTTACTCATTTTTCTTTTAATAACAGCGCAGTAACCAAAATTACCCACAGTTCATGAAAAATAAATTGTATATTTAATATTCTGTTAGCCTCCTTAGTTTATTCTTAGTTCATGTTTAATATAATGTTGAATGAATCTTAAATTTAATTTTGCAAAGAAGATCCATGCTGTAATTACTATAACATAAATAAATTAAAGCTAAGTTTTGCTATGCTGTGTGCAGTATGCTACTGAGAATTATGATCCAATTTCATTTTTATGCCAGGAACTCTAGACAATAGATATTGCGGGAAATATATTGTTTTTGTTTTTCTTGTATATGTTTTGTTTCTTTTGATAGGTTAGAAGAACTAAACATAGTTTTAAATTCCAAAATTAATGATGAAAAGAGTATGATGTAGGGGGGGAAGAAATGGGGTAGTGTGTATATGGGCTATGAGTAAGAGTATTTTTCATTCTTTGAGTGAAAACAGTCATCCAGACATGGTACAATAAACATTAAGCACAAGGCACCATAATCATACTACATTCCAATTTATGTCACAGCCTTCGCCCACTAAGCAATACTGCATCTGCTCTGGTGAACCACGTCCTCTTTGAAACTTCTGACCACTTGTTCCAGGCACCAGTTAATTTATTCACTTTCTGCATCATATATGTAGCAGAAACTATGAGTCAATGGTCTGTTGGTGGTTCATTGACAGTAGAGTTCATCCTCATTTCAATTATCAGCTACCTTTAGAGCCCATTATCATTGGACAGGGACAGTCATGTTTTGTAAATGAGAATTAATGAATTACTTTTGTTGTTGCTGCTTTTTATTCCTGCTTAATTTAGTATAAGGCAGAAGCATGTTATGGCTCTGGAAATCAGGATATATTATTTCCTCTGTTGTTATGCTGTCACGTTACACATTTTAGAAGCAGGAAATTAATGGCAAAATTACTAATACCTGTGAATTTTATTATAATGAGAGAAAGGGGAAGTGAAGTACTTTCACTTTTCTGTGAATGAGTATGAAAATTATGAGACAGAACAGAATTTGGGGAAATAGTAATGTATAAGAAATGAAATAGCTCTGTTTTCTGGATTAAGAACATAAGAGTTCTGCTAGAATAGTGGCTCAACCTTTCCCAGATCTTGTCCCTTGAGATGTGTAGGATTACAATCTTACTGCTGTTGATCAAGAGGCTGGCTCTGATGGGACTTGGGAGCCTAAGAATCTGAAGAGAATCAAATGGAAGAACAGTTTCCTAGTCCATTACTGTCCATAGGATAGTCACAAGAGCCCACAAACCAGATAGGAGGACAGCAGCCTCCCCTGTTTCTCCCCAACTGGAGGATTACTAGAATATCCAAGATGAGAATGGATTGTGTTATAATACTCACTTTCTGTCTTCTGTTATTCTTATCACTGTTAGCTTTCAGTCCTGAGCACATAAGACTTAAAGTAAGAGCTTCTGTGGATTTACTTCTTATGTAAGTGTGAATAGGATTGTGCTGCCATTACCCACTCAGCCACCCACCCCCCAAAAAAACTAATCAAAGAAAGCAAGCAGAAGTAAAGCATGAAAGTCAGGAGAACATTTTCTGTCATGCAGTGTTCACATTAATGCTAGCATTTTAAAGCCTCTTTGCAAACTTTCTAGGTGTAGGGAAGCCCTCAGCTTCTGGAGAGCATTGCTATGCTATACAGTATTTTAAGTTCTGGAACTTTGTAAGTACTTAGAATCAGTTATTTCATATTTATGATACACATGTCAAAGCGTATGCATAAAATAATGACCTTCTCCATGATTTTTGCTCTGAAGCATCAAAGCATTCAATTTAAATGAGCTTTTTTGCATTTAAAGGGCTGGCCCAAAGCAGATATTGGGTTCAATTGATTTTGTTTTCTTTTTAAACAGGTGGAATGCTTTTGAATTATTCTTAAAAGTGGGAGGTCTTATCATGTTAGTTTCCAAACTGCTCAGCCATTTGTAGGACTCACCCCCAATCAAAAGAAATTTCAAGGCTGAACCTAATTCCCTCATATGTTATAAGCCCATTCTATTAGCTACACAGAATCTGTTCAGATGTAATTTGCATGCAAGAGTGTTGCAGATAAAAGTGGTCAAGTGGCTATGCATTTAACCTCTGCTTCAAGAACAGGCAGTTCCTCCCATCTATTCATGTGTTTCAGGATCACTTCTGAATTATCATTTGGAAATCATGCAGGGCACCTCCATGGATATAAAAGGCTTTCTGCTGCAGAAGCTTTTTATGAACCCTTGAGGGAGTGGGAGGATGACTTTGACTGCGGGACAGGGGCTAAACATACAGTCCTGTACTTCTTTGTAATATCATTGCTCTTTCACACAAGTAATGCCTAAGCAAGTCTGTAGCCCTCCTGACATCCAATTAGGCAGTCACTGAATTATTGATATACTGCTTATTACTGGTTCCATTTTTAAACACTGCTTCTTGTACAACATTAGGGGAGGAGAAAAAAGAATCTTGAACTAGCATACCATGATTCTTAGTCATTTTTTTGGTAGCTGCATGAAAATCTAAAAAAAAAAAACCGCATCCTCTACAGTGTGAAAGAGCAGTATGAATTCTGGAAGCCTCTTTGTGTTCTTCCTATTCTCATTAAGATTGATTTTGTTAAGCTGACTGCAAATATCAAGCCATCCATTAAGACCCGTTGGGAATTCTTTGCCCTCTCCCTTTCCCTCGTTTGATCTTCTGTTTTACTATGATCTTTACTTTTGCTCTTTAAGGTTTTTTTTTTTTTAAAATCCCCAATTTTGGTCAGACATTGGTCAGTGTTCCTTAAGATCCTTATGCTGATGATAATTTTCCACCTGCTGTTTGGATTTAAGTGTCTAATTAGGCACTTAATTAGACTTCACCCTTTCTCTTCCCCCTGCCCCTACACGTTTTGACTTCAGCAATGATTCTGATTGTCTAACAGATATAGTTTTTCTGCACAATCCTACCTATGCAAAGCGAATCATCTCAGCCTTCTTTGTAGCTCATGTTTCTCTGCCCCTTGAAGACATGAGTCTCTATAAGACAGCCTTAATACTGGTTCTGGAGCAGATGCTGATGGGGTGCAAGTTCAATCTTGGAAATGGGGGATATGCCAAAGTAGGTGAATAATGAGAAGGAATCTGTGCTGAAGCAGCTGAAGGTGGCATAACCCTAGAGGATAATTCATATGCTGAATCAGGAGCAGATGTCAATAGAGACAGCTTGTCTGAGTATTTGGATGCTGATTCAGTAGCAAGTTGCATTGATGGGATAGGCTTGTCAGACATCCTGTTTGTAAAGACCAATGTTGACTGTAAAAGTGGTGGGTTGTTAGAGGGAGGTGACATTTTCCTGGAGGCAATAAGCACAGAAGAAACATCTTTCAAAAATGACAACACAACAGATTTTTCAGTGTTCTGTTGAGAAATCCTATCAGCAAACAGATTTTTTTTTTTTTTTTTAAAAGGCAGTGAAATATTATCCAAATACTTGAGACATCTTAGTGTGGCCATATTGCTTACTCATCATGCCAAAACAGCGAGGCTTTTGCAAATGCAGTCTAGGGGTGGAGTCTACGAGCCCACTCATTTGCTAAAGGAGCCTCCCACAGGTCGGAGCAGTAATGTGCTGTACCTGCTGTGGAGGTTTCCCTATAGAATAAAAATATTGTGTGTATATCAGGTTATATTCACCAAACTGTAGAAAACGATTTTTGGACAATAAGAATCCTCCAAGTCAAACTTGCTGGCTGCTTTTGCTTTTCCAACATTTACATGCTTGGAAAGTTTGATCTGATAGATACATTCTTATTAGGTAGTTGTTTGATTTTGGCAGTTATTATTGTATTTTACTAATCTTTACTGGAGGTACAGTATGTAGAAGATTATTAACTCAAGTATGCATACAATTAAGGATAAACCATAAACCAAGTAGCAGTTACAGACACAAGCTGAGGGACCCTGGATTCAAATATCCACTTAGTCATTTACTTATATTAGATGTGCCCCCCTCCACCTCCCCAGTGGTCCAGGACTGCAAGCCTTGAATGTGGTTCCCAAGTTTCTCCAAGGGTTGCTTCTGAGTTATTATTTTAAATGTGATAGGAGGAGGAAATACTAGATTTGCAGGGAATAATATTAAGTCAATTGATTTAATTTTTGTTCTGATCCATCTAAACTTTACACCTGCACTGTACTCAGAGGTAAGCATGGCATATCACTGTTCTGTTGTATGGTTTAACTTGGGGGTAGAGAAGCTATGGGCCTTAAGATACAACCCATAGAGGCCCGTTGTGAGGAATGCTAGATATTGTAGTTTAGCATTTTCTGGAGGATCCCACTCTTGGTGTAGCACTGAGTGTACCTCACCTGGGCTCACTTTTTGTGTTAAATCATGTTTTCACAGTGATTGGTAAATTTAATATGAAGGCATGCATTAGTGAGTTTGAAAACTGGAGGTGAAACAGGAGAGGCTATACTAAGGAAGAATCTTGAAGACAGTGAAGTAGTTGTATAGATAAGCAGTTCAAAGGGTTAAAAAAAAGAGGCATGATCGGTAGACCAGGAGCAGAACAGGAGAAAGAGATAGTCTTGTCTGAGTTTCCCTGCCATTCACTAATGAACTCTATTTATTTATACAGGAAATGCCATCAGACCAATAGCCCTTCGAGCAGTTTCTGAAATTGCTAGGGCTCTTCCTGGTTTTCCTATATTAGCAACAGGAGGCATTGACTCAGCTGAAAGCGGCTTGCAATTTCTTCATAGTGGTGCTACTGTTTTACAGGTATTAGTTTTGTCCTATGTTTTAAAAACAATAACAGATTTTGCTTTAAAGTGAGATGAGGAAGACGCCTAAACCTGGGCCACATTTTTTTTTCCTTCATTTCTTCTCCTTTTCTGCGCCATTGTTGTCCTTTGTTTATTTCATTTATATTCTGTCTTTCTGCCACAACTGGCATAGCAATAGACGAGAATAAAATATGAAACAGATTACCTAAAATATAATAATTGTAAAGCATGGTTAGGAGAAGTTAATCATTGCAAACATGAAACCTAAAATAATCTCAGAATGCCAATATCACAAAGACTTTTTGTAAATATCTGGTGGATCTATAAAGAGAGTATTATATACATTTTAGTTATTGCACACCGAGAAAGATGTAATAGAACTGAAAAAAACACAGGAGAAGGCAATCAAAATATAAAACAATGTGCAAAGGGCAAGTATCCTGTGTAAAAATTATAAAATGTATAACTTTTTCAGTTTTTTAAAAAACAAGTAAATAGGTATATGAGGGAGGTTATTAAAATCATGGATGATGTAGAAAAAGTGAATGGAGGTTTTTCCATCTTTCATAATAGTATCTGTGTTTATACAGTGAATATAATGGTAAAAAGAGATTGAAGATACCTAAAAGAAAGCACTATGTTATTAATCTATTTAATTAGTAATGGTCTGGCCACAAAGTGGGCATCTTTAAAAGGAGATTAGAGAAATTTATTGAAAATAAGATTATTAATGGGTAATAATCATTATATCTATATATTACCTCTAGTATTAGAGATAGTATTGCTTTTAATACCAGTTGCAAGACTACATAAGAATCTTACTATTATATTCATATCCTGCCTGAGGCTTCCCATAGGCATGCTGAACTTGATAAGCCTTGGGTCTAATCCAACAGTGTTCTTCTTATTTTATTTTGATTTCAGACAATTATCTTTCAGGTTACTTCATGATGATCTTCTTGGAAAGCTAGCAATATTACAGTTAGATGGATTTGGAACATAGAAAGAGGGTATTCATCGATTGTTTTTCATCAGTACCAGGAAAAGTGACAAATGGGTGTTATAGAATTCTAATTTCCAGTGTGGTTAACATTGTCATACATTTCTTGGATGGCAGAAGAAAGGAGATGCTCATTGGCTCTACAAATAATAGGGCTTCTTGATCTGGATGACTGCTAGATTGCAGCAAAGAGGTATATGGAAAATAATTCTTAACCTACTGTCTAGCATAGTAGGAGGAAAGCTGTGTTAGTCTAAGATGGCAAAAGCCAGGAGTCTGGTAGCATCTTTTCCAACTAACAAATCTCCAACCAACACAAACGTTTATGCCTTTTAATAAAATTAGTTACTCAAGAAACTTGTTACCAGAATCCTTCTGTTGTCTATCAGTCATCCAGATTTTGCAGCCCATGTCTGGTAGCTCTACAGATGGCATGAAATTAGGTGGGATAACTAGTCCTGTAGGATTAAAGGACAAAACAGAGCTCGCTTGAAGGCAAGATAAGGCAAAACTAAGAAAATGAATTTCCACAAAGATAAACATAAAGTTCTACATTTAAGTTTTTTAAAAAAAAAATCAGATGCACAAACTCACATAGAATGACTTGATAATAGTACAGATTAATAGAAACTGGTGGTTTTACCAGATCACATGCTAAAAAGAAGCATAATTTCTAGATTAAATGAACTAATGGTACTGTTTTGATATACAGAATTTTCATTTAACTTCAGATATTAGGAGGACTGTCATGTCGGTGAGGAAGCTAACTTGTTTTCTGTGGCTCAGTGAGTAGAACCTCAACAAAACAAATTGAAAGGAAAAGGAACCAATTGTAAAGTAAATGTAAGAATTTCCTGGTGGTAGAAGATAGAGCAGAATTTTTTGAGGGGAGGTCAACTCTCCTATGTTTAAGTTGTTAATGCAGATTGAATTATCATCTTTATGGACAATATCGTGATAAATTCCCTACATTAGCAGGGGATAGGGCTATATAACTTTTGAAGTCCCTTTCAAATTCTATGATTCTTAGAGTTTTTGGACAAGGTACAATTTGGCTAGACTACTGGCAAATCAGAAGTTGTGGTCTCATTAAAGACTCTTATTCTCTATAATTTCCTTACTTGGGAGAATAGCAACTAGCCTAAGGCTGAGATAAGGAGCTAAAGACCGAGGCAGAGTATCAGAGTTGGAGGAAACCACTCTGCTTCCATTCTGTTGAATTCAGCAGATTTTAATATTAAAGGAATGCAGGATACCTATCATGGAGTGGAAATGGATGGGGGCAAGGGACAAAACAAATCTTATGTCACAACACACATTTTGTCATTTTTTTGGCATCTTCACTTGTAGCAGACACCTATGGTACCTAAGAGGGTAATGATTGGCATTGATTAAAAAAAAATGGGAGGAGAAATGGTCAGAAAGGAACATTCAAGACCTCCTTCTTGCAACTTTCAGCAGGAAATTAAATCATTATTTCCATTAGTGAAATATAGAAACTTGGGTCATATAGGGATGGCAGAAAAACAGACACAAATATGAAGAAGTGGGATTACCAGTGCTTTAACAATACTTTTCTCCTTTTCAAAGCTCAGAAAAATATAGTGATAAATCTGTCTGTTTAATCCAGATTTAAAGTTGTATCAGTTACCTTAAATCAGGGGGTGACCTTTTTTCTGGCAACAAGGAAAAAAATCCACAAATCTTGCAAGTTTTTGGAAATCTCATGGAAACTCTCACAACTCCAACACTGTAATTTTTGGCAAACGTGAGAGTTCATCTGTAAAAAATATCAGTTTTGACAGCTGCAGACATTGTTTAAGGGTACAACAGATCTTTGGTCTCTGTGGATGTCTGGGAAGTTGTTCTGTAAACTCCTTTAATCATAAAATCCCAGAAATTAAAAGGTAAGGCTGTTCTTGAGCTAAACATATATAGTTTCCATTCAAATTTTAAATTAATGTTTTAGCTATATAATTTTCTAGTCACAGATAAAATTACATTATGGTACAGATCCTCACATTTAAATAAAAGTTGCTAATGTTGTCAGAAACTTCAGTTCTGAAAGTATTATTAAAAAAAACTCCCTGCCCCCATTTTGTGCTCCTCATCTAGAGCAGTATTTATATATCAAAAAGAGAGAAAGAAGTATGATCAGCAGGGGAATGTTCCATTGATTTCATTTATGACTACTAATTAGAACTGAACCTCAACCAAAGGAGTGTATAACTTCCTACAGTTTGTCACACAGCCTCTGAAGATTTCCATTAAAATGTTAGATTAGCTGAAATGTATTATAGTGTTCCTTCCAACTTGCTTAAGGATTTTGATTTGACTTCAAAAATTGATATCTTGATTAGTTTATTAATGTATAACTTGGCAGAATGATTAGATGGGTGAACGGGTTTGTTATTAATTTATCTGAAACTTGCTTATAATAATACATTTTTAAAATGTGACAGAATCAAGAGCCAAAGAAACCTATATAATGGATTGGCATTCTTACTATTTTTGAAGAACCACAAGTATTGGAATTAGTGAGGCAAGACCAAATCACTCTAGTGCATGAGAAAAGATCAACAATTTTCTTTTTGCAAAATTATTATCAAAAACTTCAAGGCAGGATAATTTTATGTAGAGTATAACAACAGCAATGTTTTTAAAAACGATCCCATTTGGAGGCTTCTGATTACAACTCCAATAAATTAATATAAGGATTTCTTTTACAGCTCATGTTCCTTTCAGTGCCATTTGTGCAGAAATATCCATTGATACATATAGACAAATGCACGGATCAGCCCAGTTTAAGTTGAGCATCTTTATGTCCCATTGTTTTCAAGAACAGAAAGTTAAGCAAATAATTAGTTATTCCATTAATAGCAAACAAGGTATAAACATGCTTAACTTTAGCTGTATTCTGGTTACTTAACAAACAGAGCAATACTGTATGTGGAAGGAGAGAAGAATCTGAGGTGAAGGAGTACTGTAGACTTATCTCAAAGAGAGCATCTTATCTTATGCATAGTTAACAGTTGATTAGGAATGCAGAATGTGGGTATCTCACAAGCACACATTAAAGGAGTCCACCACTGAGTTAGTTGAAAGTTACATTTCCCAAAAGTAGGGTAAAGAGTCTTCTGGCCCACAAGGTTGTAGCAAAATCAACAGTCTGGGGTTGAAATTAGCAGAAGTCAATTACTGAGGTCAATAGGCAAAGTTTTATTACAGTCCTATCCTAACTACGTAACAGTTCATATTGGCAGCTAAGCATGTGTGGACTGAGCAGGAACAAGGGAAGGGTCAAGGTTTCCCCAAAGTCAGATGCAGCTTGTAATGAAGGCACAGAAGATTAGGCTCTTTTGTTCATTGGAGTCAAGGTGCACCAAGTTAGGCTGTCACAAAAGTTGTTCAAAGGCTCAGTTATTCATAGGAAGAGCCTTTATATGATGAAAGTTTGTTTGTTTGTTTATTTATCAAATTTATATATCCACCCATTTCACAAAAAGTGACCATGGGTGGCATACAACAATAATTTAAAAACAATAAATACATAAAAAACAGCCATTGTTAAAATTTAAAACAGACATTATTAAAAATAAAAAGCCATATGGCACAGGAGAGAGTAATTATCAGCCACAGTGATGAAGCCATCGTAAGATTTCACCAGTCTCCTGGGACCCCCAGGACCAGTGACAAAGCCAGGTCTTGAGGGACCTACTGAACTTCAGCAGGGATGGAGCTAGCTTCACTCTGGGGGGAGGGGAGAATGTCCCATAAGGCGGGCGCCATGGCAGAAAAGATCCATCTCCTGGGACTGCCAAGGCTAAGTCCCTAGCAGACAGGACCCGAAACATGCCCTCTCTGCCAGATCTAATGGAACAGGCAGATTTAATCGGGGAGAGGCGGTCCCTCAGATAACCCAGTCCTATGCCATGAAAGACTTTGAAGGTTAATGTCAGCACCTTGAATTGGACCTGGAAGCAAACTGGCAACCA